TCTATTCTATATCTGATAATCTTTCTATTAAACTCATTATTACTTTATTCTAATTCAATAAATTTGTATAATCATTTTTTTCTTTTTACATTTAAAGTGTTTCTACCACAAATTTTCTTCTTTTTTCTCTTTTTTCTCTTTTTTTATGCAGAAAAAAACAAAATAAAAAGAAAGAATCAGATTCTTAAAATGAATTAATTTCGAAGAAAGGGAGATTAAACAAAACAAGAGTATATATATATATATAAGAAAGTTTATATTATTTATGTATATGTGTAATAGAAAACAAGAAACAAATTAGAAATGAATACTTGATCTTATTCATTTGGGATTCTTATCTCTAGAGTAAGGGGTTTACTTTAATTCTCTATCTCTATAAAACGTACATACGTATATATATATATATGTATGAGTATTTGTTTATTTGTATATCTATTGAGTAACTCAATGACTAAACGTATCTATATATATAAGATTACCCCATTTCTATCTCAATCACTTTCTTCTTTCCATTTGTAATACTTTAATTTGTAAGTCATTTAAAAAAATATATAAATAAATATACATCATTTTAATTAATAGAGTTTTCATTTCTGAATAAAAAGAAGTCAATTAGAATAGGAAAACTAAAATAATGATTCAAATAACAATAATAATATGAAGTAATGGGTGATTTTTGTTTTCAGAAAAACTAAGACCCATGAGAAAAGTATCAACAGGATAAAGAAGTTAACATAGATTCAGATGTATACAAACAAGTGAATACGTTAACAAAAAAACACAACTTTTTTTGAATATTTTTGTTTGGTTAAAAACTAAGTTAGTTAATAGTTATTTCAAAGAATATTCCTCAATTATCATTACACTTGGAATCTTCGAGGACTTCATCCTGTTCGAGTATGTTATAATTATTAGGTTTTTAGGTGATAAGTAAAGGTGAATAGTGGCTAGCAGTAGAATCCAGGACACGCATTTCGTCTTATCTGAGACTCGTCAACTGGATGTACTTGCATCTCGAGGCAATACGTACAGTATGCACATATGTCAGTAAGAAATTGATCAATTTCAGTCCTAAATAACAATCGGAAGATACAAGTAAAACTACACCAAGTGAATTAATACTTCACCCCATTGCACAAACAAACGGCTATCAGGACTCAGTGGCTAAGTGAATAATGCGATGGCGTTTGAAGCGAATTGTACTGGGTTTGAGTCCCAGAGTAAATATCAAATCTGGGGTGTAGGTACATTCAGCTGACGAGTCCCAAATGGGACGAAACGCGTGTCCTTGATTCCACTGCTTGCTACTATCCATCTTTGCTTATAATGCTTGTTAATTAAGGCAATATTGAGGCAATCCGCACAGAATGTACATATGCCAATAAGAGAATGATCAATTGTAGTCTTAGACATTAATGAGAGGACTCAAGTCAACAATACCAAGGTGATAAGTAGTATTTAGTTGTCAAAAATCGAAATATCAATTAATAATGAACAGTAATCATAAATAATTGTATTTGATGGTTGTAACTTAGTATATTTTAAAATCAGTGAACTCCAATTACTAACTAAGAGTTTGGGTATCCAAATAAATAACATGTCAATTGTTACTAAAGGTATTTAATCTGATAATTTCAAATTAATTTACAACTGGTTCGCTCGTTCGTAATGAAATTTGTAATAAATCAGTGAGTAATGAAATGAATTTACAACATTTTGTTAATTCACGAAAGTCTTTTACTTCAAAGAAGAAATAATTGGTTAGTTATTAAGAATGAATTGAATAAAAGCGATACTAAATACTGGGAAGTTAAAGTATGATGTTGTGATCCTTATCATTGATACTAAGTTTTAACCGTTAATCTGTTGAACGGATCTGCAAGGGAAGCCTATTGTGTAAATTTACTGAAATCATTAACCGATCAAGGTTAGACCATCATTGAAAACCTGGAAGGATTGGACAGTTGTTTCTTCTCAGTATGGGACTCCTCAGCAGTGCGCATCCACGACTCCACACGCGGGGCTCGAGCCCTGGGCCTTCAGTCCCAAGCAAACGCTTAAACTTTAGACCACTGAGCCAGCATTCAAAGTTGTTAATGTCTAACCTCAATCAATCCAAGATATTGCGCGACCATCTTCTGCTGTCTTCGATAGGTAACTGACTCATATCCTACACATTGTCAATTCAGTTATGAGTTTGCTCTATTAAGAATTATTAATAATAGTTCATCTGTTTTGATGGTCGATGAAAATTATAAATTCTACAATACTGTTTAGTATGTGTTCTTGGCTAAAGCTCTCAAATATTAATGTATAAATAGTGAAACTATTAATAGAGACAATGATGATTCAAGGAAAATTTTTCAGATCTCATTGCTAAATAATAAATAATTTTTGTTGTAAAGATAGATCGATCAAGTAGAAAATCACATTACTAATTACACTGTAGATGAAGAAATATATATATTGGATGAACATGGTTGTAATCTGATTGTAGATTAGTCATCAACGAATATAATTCATAATAATGAGTTTTCTGTGATATAATCGATTTATCAGTAGTCCTTTCAAGACATCAGGTACATACATTGGATTTTTGATGATCAAAAAGGTTTAAAAAAGAATATGATTTTTTAGAAACATTATCATCTAATGGCTGCAACTTGATACAAGTCATAGAACAAGTAGTGATAAGTTATTTACGACTCTGGAAACAGATTTCTTACTTACTTACGCCTGTTACTCCCAATGGAGCATAGGCGGCCGACCAGCATTCTCCAACTCACTCTGTCCTGGGCCTTCATTTCCAGTTCTGTCCAATTTTTGTTCATTCTTTTCATGTATTCTGGAAACATATACCACTTATTGAAATCTATGTTTTATTCAGATGACAACATTAATGCTATCTGATTACCTCAGTTAATAGATGCCTTTGAAAACACTATTATTCATACATTTAAACTTTATGACTGGTTTGGCTGAATTAAATTATTATTCATAACATGTGAGAACGTGAGCTAGTACATAAAAGTTTTATATGCAGTTTCATAGGTAGAACGATTAATTACTGCAAGTGTTATTTGTTGATTCTGTACAATGCGTTCGTTTTATTAACAATTGACTTTAACTACATAGTTATCGGAAATCAGGGGAAACTCGATTACCGTTTTGTCCTGGTTCAAAACTTCCCAAACGAGTTCATCCACAACTCCTCATAGGATTAGATCTTGTGAAAAACACGATAAACCTAAGCTCGTCAGTTGAAATTCATTTGTTTAAAATTTAAATCCCAGTGCATTGTCAGTATGGCGCAACTTTCTTCCAATTGCACTGGTGATTTATTATCTCACATCCAATCTGACTGACTCCACAGTTGCACTAAATTTAATTCAGGAATAAAAGGTTTACATTAGGATATCACTCTATCAAAAGGTGAATGGGGGTGAAAGAAGAACTGCTGAGTTCAAACCTAGTGACCTATGTTTCCAACCTGTCATAAGTGCTGAATATTCTGGCTTAGTTCAGCTAGCAAATGCTTTGGTAAAGATCTGGTGGTTGACAGTCACAACGAAAATGAATAGGGTGGTATATCCTTCATTATCTTACTGTTACACACAAAGGATATCGTGAAAAGTGATAGCAGGATGCAGATTTTGCATTGAAGAATCTCGAAAGTAGATAATGTTCATTATTTATCAACCGTGATTTCGATATTGTATATGTAAGAACTCACTTATCAAAAGATGTACAATATAATACCTGCGGAATCATTTTAAAAAACCAGTTGATTACATATTCTGTCGAACGAAATAAGTAAATGAATCCTACATATTTTAAATATATGATGTTAATTATCAGGCCAGTGTTGTTTCAATCACGAACGATCAGTTTACTCATTTAACTCAAAGCTGATCAGATAAAACTCAGTCTGTATATGCTAACAGAATTGATGACTCTATTTAGTGTAATCATTTTCAGTTAATTTTAATATTGTTTTCTGTATAGGATTGTGATGATTGTTGAGTTTCAATTGAGATTATGAACCATTCAGTAGTAGACCATCACTGAAAACCTGGAAGCATTGGACGGCCGTTTCGTCTCAGTATGGGACTCCTCAACAGTGCGTACCCACGATCCCGTTCACGGGGTTCAAACTTATGACCTTGGGTTTCACATAAACGCTGTCCAATGCTTCCACCTATTCAATTGCGACATGACATTGATCAGTTGATGATCTCAACTCAATATTATTTCCTTATAAAGCATTCAGACGAATTTATTGAAATTCGAAATGTTCAGTAACATAATAATTTAGAACAGTTTTCTACGAATTACTATGAGTTGTTTTACATAATCAGCTAAAAAATTATCTTAAAAGACCTGAAAAGAAAAACTATTTGTCCGATGCTTTTGAAAATTACTCTATTAATTTCGATCTAACCGACATGATTTTAGTATTCAATACTTAGTTGCGTATTCTACATCCATATCAAATTTATATACAATAGTAGATACTTATAATTCATCAGGTATTTTTAACAGCGTTCAGTTTTCTTTCTTTCTAGTATACTTGTGTTTATATTTCTTATTTATGATGACAAATTCTAAGACCTTACCATTTCTTATATTGTCAAACCACCGGCTCAGATACGCAGTATATACCACAAGTTAGATGTGTGTTTACGTCTCTCTGTAATATTACTATATGTCTTTTATAGATATATATTTATATATAAATAAAACTCTTTTTTTCCTATAGATGTGTGTCTCACTGATCTTTGGAATTTCCACTCATATTTATTAGTTTCCACTCCACTAGAATATAGTAGTAATCTTGTGTGGCAGAAGCAATGACAAGTGTATATGATAATCTGTTTGTAACAGGATTGGTTTCCCAACGATAAAAATACATATGTACACACACAGAGAAATGAATGACAGAGGAAAAAAAATTATATATGAGAAGATAAGAAAAACAAGGGGAAGTTAAACATAACAATTCTGTTTAATAGGTGGATAGAAATATTTGTATACGTATAAAAAACTATTCTTGATAAAATAGTAAACTAGATTAATGAAAAGTGTAGGAAACAATGTAAATAATTTCTTTGAGGAAAAATCAAAGTGTAGAAAAATAAATGTAATCACAACTATTACTTCTTTCAGTCCCCTTTCATATGTCCTATAGAACAATAAATTATTTATGATGGTGTGTTGGTATATTAAGTGTATCCTGAAAGAGAAAGAAAGAAAGAAGATTGAATCATTTCGTATCATTTTTCAAAACTTTTCATTGACGAGTGTAATACTTTCAAAGATTATGTGAGTATATTCTTTGATAGATTTTATCATTATGTTAGGTATAACTATTATTATTAGTGTCAATCTATGAAGTTATTTTAAATTATGTGATGATCACATCTTGTTAAATTTAGAAGTCATTTAATACATGGAAGGTTTGATACTTTAATATCTCGATTGTTTTTTATGTTTTGAAAAGAAATTTGAGGTTACCATGTAAGGGAATAAAATTATCATTAGAATGTGGATTTGTGGAGGTTGTAGGAATTTTAACAGTTGAATTCATGAGTTGATATAAGCTATACCACAAATGAAAACCTGGAAGCACTGTACAGCCGTCTCTTCCTAGTATGGTCCTAGGTTCGAGTTTCTCGTGTGGAATCGTAGATTCAAACTGCCGAGGAGTCCCATACTTGGAAGATACAGCCGTTCAGTGCTTCTATGTTTTCAATGGTGGTCTAGTTTAGATCGACTCATGAATTCAGTTGTAGCAAAATTATCATCAATGGTATTTCATGTATCACTTGATCCGAAAGGTAAGGAACTGAATTTCATAACTTCTAGTTTAATTGTGTACATCAAATGAATCCAAGTTTGTTCATAGGCATATTCTACATAAATTCATATCATGTTAATTTAACGGACTGGTGAGTGAGATATAAAGCTTAAAATACATCAGTACTTTTGACAAATAAACGTTTACTCACTGAACTATAATTAATAGAATTCATCAATCTTAAACTCTAGTCAAATTTTCTTGTTCAAAATGTATAGTAAGATTACCAGTCCATTCGTTCCCCACCTATGAATGTTATTATGGTTGCAAAAATACGTCTCGTTCTCGGTAGGCTGGATAAATACGGTGCATACTACCTAAATACATTGTGGAGAAACTGTATTACCACCCTATGTTGAAAAATATCCCGTGATAAATATAAGTAACTCTGAATAGTAACTCAGTGTTTTAATGCTTGTGGTATTGTTTTTGAAAATGGGATTGATGGAAGTATATAGTACAAATATAAATCAGCAAAGATTACTATTAGATTAAAGATAACAAAGAGCAACTAATATCAATTGAATTCACATTTAAAACCGCTTGGTGAAATAATCTAGCCTGTTTTAAAGGCTTTTGGTGGCACTAAAGAATCGAATGTCTAAAAAGGTGGTTGTATGAAATTCGGAGAGATGGTTAGTCAAATAAATCTTTAATAAATTAGTACATTGGGACAGTAAATCAAACTATGGTTTTATGTTTCACTGATACCCATGACCAAATTTTCTCTTCAGAAACTGTCTTGGAGAGCTAGAAATTTTCATTTTAAAAAATATGCCTATGGTTTGCCGTTTATGACAAATAGATGAGTACTTTTTATAAAAGTATCTGAGGTCCAATAGGTTTTGCACCAGCATTAATCAACAACACAGAAGGATATATTAACATTGCGTTACTGAGGTTGCATCTTACCTTTTATGGAGTAACTCAGACTATCTACCAGTCAGCCGCGTGATCCGTGTAAAAATTTATGCATTTGGTCATATCCTTCACTATTTGGTTTTATTTTCGTACTTGTCAAAAAGCAACTTAAACTAAAAGATAACCAATCCCATATGGTGTGATGACGATGAAACACTTACAGATAAAACCTCTATTCAAGCGACGTTATTTCGAACTAAACTTAAGTCAACATAAACTTGTCATTTTAAGGAAAATCAAAAAGGAATCTGAGTGACACATAATATTAAAATACATTTCCCGGGAACTTTTAATTAATAATATCAGATAACCACCAAACTGGAGCTTTAATCAAACGGTTATTTCCGTTAAGCCACTTAATAATATGATCGAGGATAGCTTCGACATATAACAGTTATATAATATTTACCAATTATGTATGAAATCTTAATTCATTCGCTGAGATTTTACAAATCGATTCTTCCTCTTTAATCTTAATTTCATTACACATTCGATAAGTACATTTGCTAGTTAACCGTGAACTTTCATTACAGGTATTTTCACAGATGTTTGTCTGTTTGGCACGAATAAGCATTTTGAACTAGTTGACCAATAGTTTATAAGTCACTCATCTTGAAACAACACTAGTTAGAGTATTTGTTATTTCTGAGAAAATATCGTTATCAGTTGTATTGTTTCACCATCATATAGAAGTAATTTGCCCGTTAAGTTCTCAAGGGATTTTTTTTAGGTAAAAGTGGTTTGTAGAGATTATTTTTATTTGCAGAAGTCTTTGTCAGGAGCAGATATTGGTTTAAGTACCACTGAAATTTAACCGCAATAATTAAAGATGCTGTGTTCATTCTCTAATAGGGTCGCGTACTTTTACTGCGAGAGAATCTCATTCTAGGACGAAACACTTGTCCAGTGCTCCCTACTTATCAATGTTACATCAATTTAGATCAATCCATGGTAAAAATACTTAAAAACAGAAAACAGCTTAGTTACGATTTTTATCCCATTCGATCCAAAGTGAATATTTTACGCCTTGCAGACATACCAGAAAAAAGGTAGCTCGTATTATCGGATTTTAGATTAGTAGTTATCTGGTTTTGGAAAAAAATGTATTTTTTTCATTTCGATAGATTGTTTAATAGTAAAGATATGAATGACCAGAAAGAGTAATTTTTTACTTATGAACAGTAAATTATATTGAACATGGCATAAGCTACTAGAGAAATAACTAGACTCTAATCTATGTGTTCGGCTTCTGAATCCCTCAGTTTATGCTTCAACACTAAATCTGTAATATGAAATTTCTGATTTCTGCTTGCAGTACAAATGTATGCACTATTCATACAAATATGGTAAATGTGATTCAAGTCTTATATTAGGTGACCATTCATTACAGTTAGGTAAGTTCTAAACTAAATAGCTATATTGTTGTGACTAGTATCTTATTCTATTAAGTATCTGTTTAGATACACTGGATTTGTTTAAAGAACATAAATCAATTTACACTGTTACATTAAGTGAATGAATCAGTATCACATGCTTCAGAGTAGAATTTTCTGTTTGTTGAATCAATCCTTATGAGCAGACTGAAAGAATAGTTCAAAGCCCAGGTCGATTAAATCTGGTTGGCCTTTAGTCGATGGGTAATATGTTATAAACTCTGAACGTCAATGCGAGCAAGCGTGTTTGAGCCAAGAAAACTAAGTAGAGTTTGTGAGCAATACTTATTAAATCAGAGTGATTAAATTTATCATGGTAATCACAGTTTTCTAAATAACTTTTCCACGTTAATTGGTTATTCCCATACTGATATCTTCATTGTCTTTAATAATGACTTACTCTCTGAAGCTGTAATAGTTTTGCAGAAGCGTAAATATCATCAATGTATTATTGGCAACATTACTGTCAAATGTTATGTGACAACTAGATAGTGCATCATAGTGCTTAAGATGATTGCATATTATTTTAGTAATTATTCACAAGTTGTTTTGTCCCACTTTTAGGAAGTGTAGAAGATTATGATTATAACTTTATAAGCAGTAAATGGCAGTGAACTATTTATATAAGTTCTGTTTATGTAACAATTCATTTCGAAGAAAGCCATATTCACCTGCTTTTTTATCCATATTTGAGTGCAAAACTAAATATAGCACTATCTGTTCTGGCTACGGTTATAGCACGCAATTATTACAATTGGGCAGAAATGTATCCCTTTGTCTTTTACATATACATATATTTCTATGTGCAGAATCAAACTAAATAAAAACAAGTCTACATTATTGAAATAGTACGCTGGAAAATAAACACAAATAAGAAGTTCGATTGTATGTCTGTTTAGAATGAATAACATTTGATTCACTATTTACATGGAAGATAGGAATTTTATTTACAAAATTGTGTGGTTGGTTAAATATTGGTCAAATTAACAAAAGCATTGACAGAAATTGTAAAATGATATTAGTGTATTTAAGTGTATAAATAAGACAAACTTTTGTATTGCAACCAACAAAAAGATGTTAGATTTTTTTCCTCATATTACCTACCGTTAAATCTATTTATCTAAGCAAATTTAATATTCATCTTGTATTTTAGAAAGTAATTATAACTTTTACCATTCATGAATGATTCTGTTTATTTTTCTTATACAGACAAGAATGAAACCATTGTCTGATACCTTTTCATTTTTGTGTTTCTGTCATTTGTCCAATTATACAAATAATTTGTGTTTTCTAATCATACTGACAGCTTGGCAAGGATAAATATGTGAATATTTGTGCGAATTGTTCATTTTTTGAAAGATACGTATTCTAATTGAAACAGTTTTGTTATATTCAAAGCAATACACGCTGTAAAACCCCAGTATCTTCGTGCCTCCAAATGCCTTGGTATGGCCAATGGTGGGAAGTGTCAGCTCTCGCTCTTCAAATGCTCTTACACGGCCACGCATATACAGCCAGTGCCGGAGAAATCCGACTCACCGCCTCGTGGCGGGGGTGCTGTTTACCAAATTGAGAATACGAAAAGCGAATATCAGGCACTTTACCCGGGTTTTTGGACACGGAGGATCGACCTAGGGTAGTCGGAAAATCCTGATTCCAAACCGAAGGTTCACATGTGCTCCAGGATCCTGAAGGAACAAATGGCGTATTAACCTATTGTTGATCGCTGGCTTTCAAGGGACTCCATCTTCTAACGTCGCTTTAATGCCTTGTGGATTAGACCTTTAGGAAGAAGGTTCGTGATGTGACCCCCTAAAAAAACCACTTGCTCCGGTTTGTGAACCCGAACAGTATCACAGACCACACGCAAATCTAGTGACTTGTGTAGCAAATATGTATTCGGTTTCTCTTTGTACCAATATTTATGTGTTCGAATAAATAAAATAAACAGTATCTTCGTAAATTTTAGAACATTGTAACTATAATATATAATAAAAACAAATCACACTTTATAATTCTTTGAATTTCTTCTCATTCTAAATCTATTGAATTAATGTGAATTAAGTCATCAGTACGTTTCAAAAAGTGGATTTATAATGATAAAATATTATTAGAAACCTGTAGATATTTCTAATCAATGTAGGAATAATTAAACACTAATGGTAATTTATCGTAACATCATTTTAAAAGTACTTTAATGTCTGGTTTAATGATTTTTATGTAGCATATGAAATGAAATTCCTTGAACTGGCATTATTCAAATTAAACATTTAGATTTGAATAAGTGAAAAGTTGGAAATCAAAATGGTTATCAATTATAAATAATTTGAGAAAAGTTTTCGAAAGACGCAGTTCTCCAGATTTTTTTCAGTGTGCAGTTGTGGAGATTATTAAGTTTTTGATTGAGATCATGAATCGATTAATGCTAGACCACTATTGAGAACCTGGAAGCATTGGACGACCGGTTCGTCCTATTGTGGGACTCCTCAACAGTGCGCACCCACGATCCCACTCGCAAGAGTCCAACCCAGGGCTCTCGGTTTCGCGCGCAAACGCTTAACCTCTTGACCACTGGGCTAGCAGGCATCCAACGGTGAACCTGTCTAACCTCAACCAATCGACGAAATTGAGCGATCACCTTTTATTGTACTGAGGTAGATTCCTGTCTCTGCCCAACACGGATTGGCTCCAATGGTCATGGCTTCTCACTAAAAATCCAAGAATTCCTTCACGAAGCTAGTTACTAGTGAGCACATGATAATTATCTGTATGGAGTTGTGGAGACTATTAAGTTTTTGATTGAGATCATTTTCATTTAAGTATTTGTTGTAGATTATATACAATTTATTGAAAATTAATTTCTAATTTATTTCAGTTTGATAACAAGACAAAAGATACAGTAGTTGTACATAATTATTATAAGTTAATATCTAAGAAAAAAATCGTGATAAATACTGTTAGCAGTTTACTGCTATTTTTTCTGGAAAAGCAATGAATCAACATACATTATACAATCCAATTGAATCAGTTTTCAACAGTTCAAATTCTAATTCACAGTTTCGGTTTGATTGTGACTTTACAAATTTTCTAACATTTTTACAGAACAATCAAACATTGAATTCTTTTTCATCAACAAATGTGCATTCCTCTTCTTGTCGAAATAAATTCATGCCAAATTGTAAAGAGTTATTTCCGTACACCATCGAAAACGGAACTACTTCTATGGATAATTCAGTTGATGTAACAGTAAAACAAAAACATCAAATCACTGAGAGATCTCCGACAAATTCAGTACCAAACTCAAATAATTACGCAAGAGATGATACGAAATTTAGTTATTTGTTAAATCAACATGATCACGCATTATATTCTCACTTGAAGAATAACAACACACAACCAAATCATTTTGACATATTAAGATCATTTTCATCACCATTAGCATCATCTTCGACATGTGTCACAACACAATCGCCAATGACATCATCATCATTATTATTGTTATGGCTGAGCCGTTTAAATGAATTAATTTATGAAAATCCACAGGAGCTGACAGAGACTAATTTTATTTACAAAACTTTGACAAATTTATTATCCGAAACATCAACATCACATTTCAGTAATGATGGTCACAAATCTGTCTTAAATAATTTAAACAACTGTCTTGATTCAGCAAACATTCAAAATCAGACAAAGCGTCATTCATATTTATACAATAAGATGTATAGTGATCAGGAGCAAACTGGAAATTGTACACTGACTCCAGGGATAATACCTACAAACCACAGTAAAATTCGTGGTCCAGCAAATGTAACATTTTCTAAATTATGGGATGATAATAAGTCTTTAAGTTGTGATATTAAACTAAATGATATATACAGTAAATGTTGTAAGACAAATAGAGGTAGATATCAAGAGGAATTGAATTATTCACCGTCTTCATCAATAACTTCAACCGTTTTTCCTTTTTTCAATTCTTTAATGGATAGTAGAATGATGAGAGAAAATTGCAAGGAATTAAATGACAATAATGATAAAAAATCCTCAGTTCAACTTGACAAAATGTGTACAATTGACCGTATACTGTATAATGAAGCCAGTAAATGGGATAACTTACTGAGTAACAAAAGTATTACACATTTATCCGATTCACCAATACCATTCAATGCAGATAAACCAATAAATCTTATCAACTCAGGAAATACTGACCACTGGAAACTAAATAATGAGTGTAACTTAAACAAATGTGTACGTCTTATTAATGGAGAGATTAAAATGAGAGAAGATTTATCAGTTTCTGACTTTATATCTAGTGCTATAAAATATGATAGTTTTAATAAATCTACATATGATAATGGTTCATTGATTGAAGCGTTAGCAAGTACAAATAATTTAGAAATGTGTTGGGTAAAATTAATTCAAATTAAAAATGATTTAACTAATAATAATATCAATTTATCAAGTGAATTAACATTTATTCAATCTTCAAAACGTCATCACTTATTAGTTGGTAAAAATGAAAAAAATTGTAGTAAACAAGCTTCACGTATGTTGTGGCCTCATTTCAATGCTAAAAGTTTTAATGTGAGTTCCGCTGTTGTTCATAGTTTTATATTTGACTCGTTTTTCTTTTAAACTTGTATATTCTGATCATTAATGTATCTTGAGATGATGAAGTTTTGTAGCTCAGGTGGATGATTTTGATGGAGTTTTGTTCTCTGAGCTAAACCACAACCAAACCATCCAGCTCAGAGAACAATATTTCATCATTAATACCTCTAAGTGAATGAATGAGGCAAAATTAAAATCTATTTCTCACAGTCAGTAATGATTTCATAATCATGAATTTATACAACTACCCAATAGGAAAGTAAATTGTTATACAGTAACAGATGAAATTATACAGTCAGTATATATTTAAAGTTTGTGTAGAAAGTTAAATAATCTAAAAGTCAAAATCTCAATTTCCACATAATCAAGCAATTGTAAATCAGAATAGAATATCAAATAATTTTATCAATCATTGAAACCATTGGTATGAAGGTGAATTAAAGGTTAAACTGAATTATCTTTTTAAAAGATGAAAAATTTATTATCTTCAACTTTCAATTAATAACATCAGTAAATGAAATGTAAATAACCTTTTCATCATCCAAGTAATATCCACTCTCAAGTGTCATTCCTTCAAATGGATTTAAATAATAGAAAATAGAAATATGTACCAGTGGACTGCCAGTCAATAGTTTGAAGATTAGGAGTTTGAACACGAAATCGAAAATTCCGGTGTTGAGGGCCGACTGCAGTGTCGTGAATATGTATATTTGAATGGTCCAATACTAAAATAAAATAACTGTCTGATAATTCATGGTTGTCAATAGATGTCTAGATTAGATTAGTTAGTGGTCTCAGTGACTTTAATTATGTTTATATATTGCTAACACTGTCTTATTCAAACAACGATTGACTTCTATAAATTATCAACTGATTTAATGTCTTACGTCAGATGCTACAACTATCAGCACAAGTGGGATGTATTACCACCACCCTGATTCTCGAGTTGTCGAAAAGTACTCTTTTATTTTCTATACATATCCGTATGGAGGTAATAATCAAACCAATCCGATTTTTTGTGATATTTCTGTCGACTAAGAAGAAGTAGTTTCATAATTGTTAAAGCATTTATAAAATGGATAAACGTTACTGATAGATGAAACTATGTTTTCACAAAGCGATGTATAACACTTTTCTGAAATAATCTGGAAATATAAAATTCAACTTGAAAAATTTGAGTCGCGGACGCGAAACAGTCTGAGTTGCTAGTCTAAAAAATTCCTTTCCATGAAATGTTTTATATAGTGAGTAATATTTATACAAATGTTATATGAATTAAAATTACGTCTACAAGAAGACATCAAATGAAGTTCGTTCATAATGACAATAATGCCTGTCACTTGTAAAAACAATATTTATATTTGTTTTCTAGTATTCCTCAGAAAAAATCATCTGTTGTCCTAGGACCATTCACATGGCAATGATTTTCATACTTCACTCAGTTATACTGTATGACCTTAAATTCTCAATCACATAAGATTAGATGATTTTGTTCCAATATTGGAATCATCAACAAAATTTAGTTTGTGAAGAAAAATGTCTTAAAGCTGCACCATTCCCGTTAACCTCTTGTTTTAATTTAGCACTCTAATGAAAAAATCAGATATTCCTAAAAATAAATTTAATTATTAGACCTTATGGAAATTAATGTTCTTTAGTATTTGGGGATAAGTCAAGACTTCTTACTTTCACCGGAATCCTCGAGTCGATTTCTAGATCTAATCTAATAGCTAATAGCCTGTAATGCATATTATACACCTTGATAGACTTTTGAGTTTCATTTTATCACTTAAACATTTTCATTATCCCAATTTCTATCAATCATGAATAGTGTACTAGTAGGTATTCTAATGGTTCGAATAAAACAAATCCTCACATTGTCACTAGGTATCAAGTTTAATTTGATCAAACTGTAATACAGCTCATCAGACTCAATGACTAGACATAATAATTCATTTTGTTTGTACTCTTTTTTCCTACTTCTTTTCATTCATTTAAAATTTACATAAAACCAGTTATAAACCTTAATAACAATCTTAACCAATCTTCTAATTAATAAGTTTATAAAGGAATTCTATTTAGTATTTTGATTCTTTATTATATCTAGAATAGTTGTTTCAAAGCTACAAATCCATATGCTTTCCCATCGTTTCATATTACACTAATGAAGTAGAAACTTAATTGAATATAGGACTTATCAATAACCATTGTCTATTCTTCTTTATAATAATAATAATAATAATACTAAACTCATAGTTATTAGTTTGTTCTCATAAGTCTTCTTATTTCTATCTCTATATTTATAATGCTATTCACAGTTAACTTAGATTATTATATTTCACTTGTTAGTGGAATCTTAAACAAACTAATCAGTGAGCTCATTGAAATAATGTTACTTTATTAAAGAAAAATAAATAAATAAATAAGAATGAACTAATTAATGAATAGAAATTATGATAATTGTGAATGTTTATTAAAGATAATACTTAAATATTCGAATATTAAAGTAGATTGTGAATCTTTTTGTTAGAAAAGAAAGTAAACAAAAAATTTTAAAAAAAAGAAATTGATCAATAACAAATAAACAATTTCATTCTATTTGTACGTGTGTAACTAAGGGCTTTGTTGTTTCTCTTTTATTTTTCCTTCCCCCCCCTCTTTTTCATTTCAAAAATTCTTTTCTTTATTCTAATAGTTTATTCTCGGACATAAAAAAAATTAAAAAATAAATTGAAACTAATAATTTATAATAATGAATGTAAGATTTTCAACTTGATTATTAAAATTAAAATAAAATTATGGTTTCTATTCATTCATTATGTAACATCATTCTTATGTTCTTTCAAATACACAGACACATACACACAAACACAAAATTGTTCTATAAATTGTACATTTAATTTTTATTTCTTTGTAAACAATAGAGAATTAATTTAAGATTCAATTAGTAAACAAACAATGGAAAAAACGATGTAATTTTGTTGTTTATTTTCATGTTTAGTGTAGATGTTTTATTTCCATGTTAAAAATACATAAGGCTTTTGTTTTATTGAAATGTATATTGATTCAACGAATGATAATTAATGATAGTTTAGTTACTTTAGTAATAAGGAATAAATAATAATCTCAAAACGTTTTCCCTTATATATATATATATATATATATATATATATATATATATATATATATATATATATATATATATATATATATATTGAATTCATGAGTCAATTAAAGTTAGACCACCATGGAAAATCTGGAAGTATTGGATGGATGTTTCATTCTAGTATGGGACTCCTCAGTAGTGCGAATCTATGGTACCGCTTCGCGAAATTCGAAACCAGGATCTATCAGTTTAATGCATAAACGTTCAAACTTTAGACCATTGAGACGGTATCCAACAGCATTAATGTCTAACTTCAACTAATCCATGAAATTGAGTAAGTGTCCACCATCGTCATAAGTGAGTTACTATCTCATAACTGATCCGGTTGAACTCCACTGATTACGGTTTCTCACTAGAACTCCAGGAAATAATTCTTCGTGTCAATCACTATTGAGCATATGGTGATTATAACCAGAGAAGGGTTTTGTGGAGTCTTCAGTAATTTAATCATTCAGTTTATGGGTCGATTGAAGCTAGACCACCTTGAGAAATCTAGAAGTACTGGATGGCCATATCATACTAGTATCAGACTCGTCAGTAGTGCGCATCCACCACCCCGCCCCGAGAAAAGTTTTCAGGTTAACTAACTTTTTTATGTAGATGACTGTGAGTTCGTTATGAATATCTTTTACTTTGATTGAAATTTAGTAAGTAGTATTGTTAGAAAGGATTTGTCAATCTTGTTTAGGTAGTTAAAGTTACAAATATATACATATTTGCTCAAGAGATTTTTGGTCGATGTGCTGCGTGCAAAAGGTTTTGATTCTTATTAAACTATCTGATTAAAAACTTCTCTGAAATTAGGTACTACTTAAAGATACTCAAACATTCGACAAATAATCTCTATGAACAGTTCCAAACAAACATTTTATCCTATTCAATCCATGTGATATGGAATATCAAGTTTACAGTTGCAACATGTGATTTACCAAATTTTATGGGACATGTTTTAAATCAACACGTAGCCATTTAATGTGTTTAGAGGGTTTTATAAAAACCTATAATTTTCAAGGTGATGAGTCGTCACGGTTTTACTCTTGTGATTTGTTGCATGGTAAGAACCGTCGACCAAGAATCGAAGTCGAAGAATATAAAACGCTTATTTTGGGAATGCCATTTTCTAATATTAACTACGGCAAGGTAGTAGAAAACAATAGTGCAATGGAATTTTATTTTCCACACAGTGCTGAGTAATATCCTTGGCGGGACGATGAATGACTACTAAAGTGTTACATACAAGGACAAAACAGCTGTCCAGTGTTGTTTAGTTGACGATGGTTGTTTAGCTAAAATCAGTTTGTGGTGCTAAATATCATTGAAATCGGACAATATCTGTAAATTCATTATCAAGAAACGTGAATTCGTCTCCAGTTTTTTTGTAATGTTCAGCGAATAAACTTATTTAAATAATTAATTTGTCATATTTGTAAACCTGAGAGATCATTAATCTTGAAGTAAAATTCAATCAATCTATGGATACCAGAAATTACTATATAGCATAATTTTTGTCGTGAAATACTCTATAAAACTTAGAACAAGCTGGATTCGAGACTTCAATTACTCAAATGAACAGATATGCACTAGTAAACTATTAATGAAGTCACTAGCCTACGTCTTAAAAATTGTGAAGTTAATTCTGTAACAAAGTAAGAAAGAGGGTGAATCGTTATTTTAAATAGTACTGAACATATATTTAAAACACTGTCTTTTCCAATAATTACCTTAAGGATACTGATGTATGCTAAAAAAAATTAAATAAGTACCCCATAACAGTAAAAAAATACAGTTTCAGTTACTTAGTTCTCTAGATATCAAGACTTCTAATTCCCCAAGTGTATATAGCAGTTATGTTTATTTATTAAGAAATAAAGTCTATATTCACCATGTTCAACTGATGTCGACAACATAAATATACTATTTCTTTCTATATTACATGACACTTTAACAGGGTACTTGCGTTTATCTCAGTCTTATTTCTATATTTCTATTTATCTGTATGTGTATGTACTATTGAGTAATTTTTATGCATGTTAAGTAAGTGATCAAAACATTGGTTATTATTTCTTTTTTTTGCGCAATCAATCATAGATAACTAAATTTTCAACTCAACCTATTTTTTCGTTCTACTTTTTTTTACGTGTTCATTGTCTTCCGTTATCTTCCTCCATTATCACTTAACGAGTACCAGTCAAGTTTAACTTTCTACCCACTGTATAATTTCATTCATTAAATCTTTTATTCAATAAGTCTTTAAGAGTTAATTCTATGTCCTAAAATCAATTATCAAGTGATAATCTCTTCAACACTTTCAATTACTTGATTTTCTTTATTATTTATAAATAATAAAATGAAAAGTGTTAGTCTTTCTGTTTGTATTATTTTCTTCTTTATTTTATTTGATGACTTATGCCCCATAGGTCAATTGATTATTATTATTATCATTATTATTATAACTTTTAAGGTTGTAACATTTTTCTGCTAATGTTACTTTTCTCACCGTTGTTCTCATTCCTCTATCTCGCTATATACTATTCCACTTATATATTTATTCTGTTTAAATGAATAAAGTGGACGTAATAAAATTTATTGTCAAAAGATAGTCCTTTTCTACAAGTCCATCGAAAAAGCCATCCTACTGAAATCCCATGGGGTAGTATACAGATTACGTTTCAATGAAATCAAGCATTATTCTACCCCAAGGGCATATTAGCATTATTTATAAGAAATAGAGTTAGTAAGTAATAAATAAATATAATAGAATTTTGATAAATAATCAAGTTATTTATATTACATAATAAAATAGATTTCATCGAGATAATCTACAATAAGTAACAGTTTCATTTCAGTTTTGCTTGATACTTTTTATGTAGTTTTTCACACATTTTACAGTACAGTCGTCTGTTATTATTATTTTCAATTATTTGGTGTTCACAATATTACACAACTATAATGGGCGGAGCTGTCTATTCATCATCATCATCATCATCATCATCATCATCATCATCATCATCATCATCATCATCATCATCATCATCATCATCATCATCATCATCATCATCATCATCATCATCATCATCATCATCATCATCATCATCATCATCATCATCATCATCATCATCATCATCATCATCATCATCATCATCATCATCATCATCATCATCATCATCATCATCATCATCATCATCATCATCATCATCATCATCATCATCATCATCATCATCATCATCATCATCATCATCATCATCATCATCATCATCATCATCATCATCATCATCATCATCATCATCATCATCATCATCATCATCATCATCATCATCATCATCATCATCATCATCATCATCATCATCATCATCATCATCATCATCATCATCATCATCATCATCATCATCATCATCATCATCATCATCATCATCATCATCATCATCATCATCATCATCATCATCATCATCATCATCATCATCATCATCATCATCATCATCATCATCATCATCATCATCATCATCATCATCATCATCATCATCATCATCATCATCATCATCATCATCATCATCATCATCATCATCATCATCATCATCATCATCATCATCATCATCATCATCATCATCATCATCATCATCATCATCATCATCATCATCATCATCATCATCATCATCATCATCATCATCATCATCATCATCATCATCATCATCATCATCATCATCATCATCATCATCATCATCATCATCATCATCATCATCATCATCATCATCATCATCATCATCATCATCATCATCATCATCATCATCATCATCATCATCATCATCATCATCATCATCATCATCATCATCATCATCATCATCATCATCATCATCATCATCATCATCATCATCATCATCATCATCATCATCATCATCATCATCATCATCATCATCATCATCATCATCATCATCATCATCATCATCATCATCATCATCATCATCATCATCATCATCATCATCATCATCATCATCATCATCATCATCATCATCATCATCATCATCATCATCATCATCATCATCATCATCATCATCATCATCATCATCATCATCATCATCATCTTTATTTGTAAAAAAACAGATTTAGGTTTTCTCTTTATCTGTGCACATTACTGAACATACAAAATATAGAGTTAACCAGGACTTGTCAGTAAGTTTACAGTGTAACAGTATTCGGAAAACAATATGTCGCTAATCAGTATACAGAAATAATATATACTTCTTGAAATTTTAGTATATGTTAATGGAAGACGGGTGTGCTTATTTGAATTTTCCAACCAGAACACTGAAAAATGTAAAGTAATAAGGCTTGAATAAAGTATAATTAACGCAGTTAGGTGAGGTTTCTCAGTAATTCTTTCTGAATAGAATGTCTAGATCTATTCATTTTAATCGATGTATTTGATTCAATCCCAGATAGGGTCAAGTTAGTCTGTTTCGTTCAGTTGTAGTAGTGACATTATAGATGTATGAGTGAATTTCAGTTGATGTGACTGAAAATACTTTAACCTCACAGTCTATTTAATGTTTTCTTACATAAAGTAGGTGACATTCTTTATAACTTACATGATTATCGTTTATTGGGTTATCAATTCAAATCTCACTCCATTTACTTCAGTTTATATACCAAAGTACCACGGCTAGTTCTCATACGATAAATGTAACTTACAGGCAATTATACAAAACCCTAGTTTATTGGTGAGTTACATTATATTTCATTGGTTGGAATGAGGAAGAGAACCATATTATTTTGTCATTTAACTCAAGTGATGCATCAAACTACAAAATAAATGTCATTAATCTAGATATGTAACTGTATACTTTTTATTCATAGTTTATTTATTGAGTGATTAAACGTAAATTTTTCAAAGTTAATTCCGGCTTCCACATTCTTGTGACTTAATTCAAGGATAAACTAAATGAAACTATTAATAATAACATCATTTTGTTTATGTGCACTATGTATGATCATGTTATTTGTCTAATGTGTACGTCTGACAACAATATTTACATAACTGTTTATCATACATTTTTCTAAAACGGTCAGTACTTAAAATAGAATGGATTAAATGAACGAATTTTAGCAAGGAGTTAATCATATATCTTTTTTAGTAGTACAAGAAGTAATTATGATACAGAATGAATATTCTTTAATAACTTTCTACAATAGATTTTAAGATTTTCGATATTGTTGCCCCAAAATTAACAAATTCATGTCTTGGTAACAGGATATTATAAAGAAAGGAATGTCTTTATGGCACATTTCCTTGTTTACTTTAAATATTTACAGTTGATTAAACTTAAATTCTTCAAGAGTATAGTACATTTTATTAAAATTTTAACCATATAAATAAGTTATTATATCATCTATTCTCTATAAATGCATACCATCCTCTGTTTATCAGTTCTTACTGAAATTGACCAAATACTTTACACTATGTTAAAGTGCATTAAAACATTAATATTTTCACAACAAATCTTTTTTTTGGAATTTTCAAGGTGGATAAAAAACTAGTACTGAATGTCGCTAATGATTATCCATTTTTTGTTTACGGACATGGATGGTCATCTATTGAGCCAAATTTAACATTTAATCAACAAGATCTATCATGTAGACAGTTGAAAACAGATGATATTTGTTTAGTACTGACCTACTGTGTTTTATCTGCTAGTAGGAAGAATCGTGTTACCACTACTAAATCATGTACCTATAAAATGGCCTTGTCAAATGAAAATTATCCTGTAAATTTTAAATCACAATCAACTCCAAAATCAGTTCCATTTTTAAATGACGATGCCAAGAACAATTATTTACCGTTAACTGGATCAGAAAGGTGAGTAGTATTGAAGATTGTAATTTATGAACAATATTACAAAATTTATTTTTCTTGTATTTTCAAGCGGGTTTTTATTGGACATTATGAAAAATTTCAGTGAATGCTGCAAAACTAACCTTTATCAGATTTATTATGTCCACTGGTGTGGCAGCTACCTTTAAGCTAATAATTGTGCTGTTTAGTTACATGCTTATAAACAGTGGTCCGTTAGGATGATGGACTGGTTGTGTTAATCAAATTAAAAAGTGGCTTCATCATTAGATATTTCTAAATTATCATAAAACATTATCGATTTATGATTAATAGTTTATTTAACTATTAACTAACCAACTATAATACTTAGTTATCATAATAGAGCTAGTCAAGTATTGAGGTATTAGGTATGATCATTTGAGAACAGTGGAGAATTGTTAGTACAAAATGAATGAAATTTAAATGAAACGTTTGATTACGCAAGCAATTTACTTCATCTTTCGCTATTGTTCTATTGCTGCGCTACTGAACTTAGACCTTCAATAAAGTCAACGGTAATGAGTGACTTGATTATTATCCCTCAGTAGTTGTATATGACTGTCTATCACTTTGTATCACTTTAATGCTGTTAAGAATTCTGAGATAGTTTAATCATAAAGCTTTAATTGTAGTTTTTGACAGTAAATTATCATTTATAATATTTTGAAGTGAGGTTTCTTTTATTATTCTACAGCCTCTAAATCCGTTTGTTCTGTTGGCTTTATCCGTAAACTGGTGTCTTTATATATGTTTTTTACCCTCGTTTGTTAATGCGTTTTTCTTTACTGGTCTTGTCCTCTTATTTTGAACTACATGATATATAACTCTCCATACAGATTAATGAAGTAAGTTTAAGTAGGTAAGCCAATTTTCTCACATCGACTTGAAAACTAGATCTGAAGAAATCGCATACTATTTTGGGACTTTTCCAATTAAAGAATTTTGACGTTCATTCAGCCAAATTTCTATTCGTAGTTTTCCGAATGTATTGATATGAGTAATGACAGGATTTTTCACTACAAATCTGTGTTCATGTACTGATCGATGAAAGGGGTGACTGTTTTGCCAAGTGTACAGATTATTAAATTTGCTGAAATTTATTTTTGGATGATATTGCGCTTGTCTTCCTTCGTTGTTGGGTTTTTAATTTTGCACAAAATGAAATAAAGTGATTGTATCGGTTTGCGAGCAACATGGATTTTGATAGACTTTAAGATCCTTGTGGATATTCCTTGGAAAATATTCCACATATGATAGAACCGTTTGCCTTCTGATTTCTTGGAATGATTTTGTGGTTCTGTGTTAACTTGATGGAGGCTTTTAGATGATGTTGTAAGAATGGCCATTTAAAGCAAAAAGTGGGCAGAAGATTATTTTCTCCAACTTTTTATGCAATGAAGGTTGTGGAGTGAGTATTGGCTCTTCGAAATGTCTGTAAGCTTTGCAGGCTAATGGTTTGTAACCGTTATAATTTATCGTTTTATTTTCATATCTTAGATCTCTGTGTAACCGTGTTTTTAACTTCTTTACGTTTCGCCTGCTGATTTATTCATTCAAGAGTATAGTTACGCTAGATTGTTTAAGTAATTCATTTTCTAGTCCGATGTTTAGCTAGATTCTTATCATCAACAGATTGGGATTAGTGTCAAGTAGAATGACCGTATTTAAAAAAATTGTATTTAAAGTAAATTTCGCGACCTGATTCAAGTGTAAATAATCTTCGGAAACAACTGTAGCAAGACACAAGAATACTAGGTAGAGTTTCTGGACAATATAAAAGATGTTTTAGTCTGGAAGAAGGTTTCGGTAATAGGACAAAGGATCGTTAAATTCTTAGTCTTTCCTGGTGTCTAGTAATTCAGATACTAGTTGTTATCAAAGAGCTTATCAGCAATATTCGTCCGTAAATATACTTAAATCAGTGAATTTTCTAGAGAAATAAAAAATTAATCTGTACATACAGCTAGACGATAAATACTGTAAAATAAGTATATAGCAACAGATATTCTACTGTGATTAAATAATATTTTAAATACAGTTCAATTAGTACTTTCATTATGATTTCAGTCATAGTGATTCGATAAATAAACCTAGAAAAGTATTTTCATTAAATGTATACTCATGCTGTTTTTAATAGGAATCTTTCATTGAGTCTTGCTATTTCATTATTGAACTTTAGACGTAACAACTTCGCTCTCTTACTAATTATTTATTTTCTCTAAAATCATAGGCTTTCATTTCTACTTGTGTACTGAATTTATTAAAAAAGTTTTCTCATCACAGTATATCTAACTCACTGACTGCCTAATATCCTTTGACCTTTCAGTAATATGATTAGCAGTAATGGTGATGCTTTAACTATTTACTTTCAAATTCACATATACCCTAAGTAACCTCTTTGTCAACACATTCTGCAAATCTGAGTCATATTTTTTGGAATTAATTTGTTACCATTTATCAAATTTCTACGTCTAAAGCAAATTAAATTACGACTTATAACTCTTATATTTACAACATGGAAGATAGATGGAAAATTTAATGTCAAAAGATTTTGAATTTATTCCGATATATTTTGAATCAGGAAGAATGAGAGGTCTAACACTTGTGTTTTAGGCAAGCACTTTAGAATGCTTCAAATGTAACACTACCAAAGTAGGTTTTTGCTGCTTTCAAATGTCTGGATATAAAAACAATTAAACTGTATAAAAATCTAACTTGCCTTTTGAACCCACATAGTTAGTTGTTTACATCTTTTTCATATGCTTAACCAATACTGCTTTCAAAAAATTACTCGAGTTTCGTACAAAAACAGTGTTTCTAGTGTAAATACACCAGCATATACAGACTTAATAGAAATCAGTTTCCTTTTGGTTCAGTCAACCTATAATACATCTAGCGGTATCATATGAACATTTTGTGTACACTACACGCTTGACTTTAATACATCAACATAATATTTATGACATACTTAAATATCCATCTATTGAAACATAGTTCATGCTTAACAATGGATATATACAAATACACTTGAGGATTTAAAATCATGGTTTGATCTCTAACTCATCTTAAACCGATGATAGATTGAGGTAAGAGGTTGAAAGTTATGAAAAGACAATATGTACGCTTAGCGATCAGGCTTTAATAGATATGTAGATATGTATGTATGTATGTATGTATGTAATTTCTTCATATAAAAAGACTCAGTTTTTGCTAACATTTATTTATCTTGGGGTTTCCTTTGATAAATTTGAATTTTTTAGAAACCACCACTCGAAAACACTAATGACATCAATTCAAGGGAGCGATAGTGTATCTCACAAATAGCTCAATTCATACAAAGTTTCCTTCATTAAAACAAAAAATCTAAGGAACCATACCTAAGTCTAACGTCAATTAAGGTGATTCGCTGAGTATGTGTGAAGTGTGTTTAGTCCTCTTAGTGTCCTCAGCATCAGAATTTAAGGACATCAAATAATGACACTGGAAGTACCTAGTTGGTGAAACAAGCTTTTCAGATGATTGCCTATAGAGCAAAATAAGCTGTTAAATGGCAACTGATCACGATCTTTAATGAGGTCCCATCAACGAATAAACCGACATATTGATTCTATTATGAAACTATTATAGGGAGAAAAGATGGATGTAACGAGACCGAATTATTCGCTTAATATAAATATTAAGACAGTCTTATGCAAAAGCTACCCACAATATTTAACTTTCCTTTCCATTGATTTGCTCAAATCACAACCCAATCGTAAACACTAATGTAACCAACTTTGGTTAACTTAAATCCATCGATAATGAATACGCGGAGATTAAACATTCCCCGATTACTGTACTGATTCACTAAACTATCAATTTGCTTCAGATCATTTCTTACATGATGTAAAAATATTATCTCTGCTTTAGCTCATATAATATAAGCATCAGAATTATTAATTGCAACTAAACCAAGAGGTGTATTTACTATTTCTAATGCTACATTTTGAACTTGTTTCAATAAAAGTGAATGCTTTTTGTCATTTGCAAAACAAATAAAAGCACTGATACAGGTCAATGCTCAGTTAACTGTTAAAACTCCGATCAAAGTTTATCATGTTCATGCGATAGTTTTACTTTTCAAAATCAGTCATTTAGTCTAGCAGACAAAACACACGACTGAAAATGCTAAGTTGACATCAAAGCAACAACATACCATTAAAATTCATGCTGAAAATGAGCTTAAAGGCAGCTAAAAATTCTACGTAACTGAGTTAACCTATGAAAAGTTTTTAAAGTACAATAACAGATCATAATGGAATCTATCGTCGTTCAGGGATTAAAGGTGACACATTTTTCTTTTCATTTAAACATTGAAAATTTTGTCAAGTACCAATAACTTCACAATTTATAAAAAGTGTATAATATTAACATCTAAAGAAACTCTCTTTTTTTCTGCAGCAGTAAAAGTAATGAAGGTTATGCAACTTTTTCCACTGTCCATTTGTCTTCTCATAAAATTAAACAATTTTAACATTCATACATGTGCATGATCTGGTCTGATAGCAATCCAAGTATTTTATACACTAAAGGAAGTAAAGGAAAGACTATAACTTATGGACGAGCCGATCAGATATATGATATTGAGTCTTGGATTTTGGCGCGAAATTCATTCATAAATTTGGCTAAACACCACTTGGCATTTTATCTGATGTCAGTTCGTGATGAAAACCCTAAATCTAAATCCTAGCCCTAACCATCAAATGTATATCATAATTCTGATTCCTTACACTGGTTCATATCCCTCATTCAGTCCTTGATAGTAGGTAAACATCCTCAACGTTACTTTAGCGTCGCTCAAAGGTCGCCAATAAATTATAGTCTCACCGAAACAAACACAACAAATAATTATGGTGTAAATGTAATATTTGGGTGACATGTAAAAATTGTTGAGGTCAGTAATATCTTCTGTTAGCAAATTATTCTGTCATAATAAATTGATACCAATGAAGAGATAGTTTTATTAAATAGTGAAATATTTTGTAAACTGAACTTTATATTTAAGTGAAGCGAACTGATTAAAAAGGCTCGAATCAAATGTATACATTCATGAGGAAACAGTTGTTGATTAATCATCCATTCAGTTATAATTATTGTATAATACTGTTTCCACTGAATCATTTATTGTTTAGTCTGTTTCAAAATAATCTTTAGATTTCCATATTATTTTTATTTATTTAATTATTGAAATTTCTGTTCTACAACTACTACCCAAACGCCTTATCTTGTCTATTTGTCCAACATTGTACCTGTTTCACTCGACTGGTGTTCTCTACAAATAAACTTTGTATTAGAATAAAGAGAATCCACTGAATATAATGAAACTGTCATATCATATATCAATTATTTTTCTTACTTTATTAAGATTTACTGGAAACTTCAGTTGTTTATAAAATATCAATTTTTTTGATTGAGATCATGAATCGATTGATGATAAACCACCATTAAAAACCTGGGGGCACTGAACGGCCGTTTCAACCTAGTATAGAACTCCTTAGCAGTTTTCATCTACAATCTCACATGCAAGATTCGAATCTAAGACTTTCGGTCTTGTGCTCAAATGCTTAACTTCTAGACTACTGAGCTGACATCCAACGGTCTTAATGTTTAGATTCCATCGATCCATGAATGGTTACACAACCATTCATCCATTGTCTGACATAGATACCTGTCTCCACCGGACACAGATTGAATTTCGCTGGTCACAACTTCTCACTTGAACTTCAGGAAATCATCTTGGAGCCAGTCACTAGCAAGCACTCGATGATTATTATCAGTATAAGTTATTGATCGATATCATGAATCGAATGATGCGATACATCCATCGAAAGCCTGAAAGCACTGAACGGATTTATTTTGTCTTTTTGTTCTACATTATACCTGTGTTCAACCAGCTGATGTTCTCCATAATTAAAATTTGTACTAGAATAAAGAGAATTCACTCAATATAATGAAACTGTCATATCATATATCAATTATTATTCTTACTTTATTAAAATTTATTAAAATCTTCAATTCTTTCTGATATATGAATCTTTTTTCTTCCAGAAAGTTCAACAATGAAATCAATCCTGAATTTCTTGATTATCAGAAAATTCCAATAAATTTAAAAATGAATTCAAATGATCATTTATCTTCAATCTCTTATTGTACAGAAAAGAATAATAAATTAAAACAATATGATTCTAATATGCTTATAATGAAAAAACCAAAATTAGAATTATCTTATAAAAAAACAATTAAATCAAATACAATGTTATCACATCCATTTTCTGCTTATAATTTAGCTAAATCACCAGAAAATTTATAAAATGGAAATAAAATACATAATGAAAACTAATAATTCAATACAAACAATAGTCAAAGTTCCTGTATTAATTACATTACTGTACAGTAGTACAAAAGATCTAATCAACAACAAAGAAAGTCCAGGATAATTTCATGCTGTGAAACATCTTGACAAAAGAAAATTAATTTATAATGATTTAAAATATAACTTGATTTTTTCTCTCTGACGTTTAGTTATTTTTCATTTGTTCATATAATAATTGGGTTGTTGTGTTTCTTCAGTTGTGAAGCTCATGAACTACTTATTCTATAGCTGAGATCATGAGTCAATTGAAACTAGACCACCATGGAAAACCTAGAATCCCTTGATGGCTGTTTCGTCCTATTGTGGAACCCCTCAGCAGTGAGTATCTACGCCTTCGCCTTACGGGAATCAAAACCATGACCTACTGGTCTTGCGCACAAGCGCTTAACCATTAGACCAATGAGCTGGCCGGTATTGAACGGTGTTAAGGTCTAACTTCAACTAATTCACGAAATTGAGCAATACATCTAGTTTCAATTGACTCATGATCTAAACTATTGAAGTTACTAAAATCTCCACAAAACCCCTTCTGATACTTATTCTATAATCAAAATAAAGAATTAGATTGTAAGAATCCTATATGATTTTTGTTAGAAATAAAAGAAATTTACTAATCTTAATTAAAGCTGTAAAACGTTAGTTTATATTTCATTCTATTTTGAATTCATGGCATAGAAATGTATCATGAGAAATAAATGAAAATATTACGGATTATGTTTTGTTTGTTTGTTTCTTTAAATAATAATGTGTAAGGGGTAAAGCGGATAAACCTTTTCCACTATATTAGCTCAATTATTTTCAATTTGATAGTACATTTCTTTTTTTTCAGTCATTTATTATGCATACTGCTATTGTGGAAATTAACACTCGAGAGTACAGTAAAAGTCTTTGTTTCCAGCATAACAATAATGTGATAACTAATTTATGAAAAACGATGAATACAAATTAATTGATATTAGTTTCAAAACCATTATTTCTTTAAGGCTATTCAAGTCTTCATAATGAGAATATGTATCTTGTTTTAAGTTCTCATTATCTTTTGATTCTACTTGTTTTGGCATAAATCTGATGTCTTGAACATTTCGGTAGTAAAGCTCTTGTCATCTTCTAAAGCAAAATGTCACGTTCAGTTCTCTAACCATGTTAAAGTTTAGTGAAATCCACAGCCGTTTCTCATTGTTGAAATATCGTATGTGAACATGTCCTAGTAAACTTATTTTTAGTAGACGCTGTCTCTCATCAATTCTATGTTGAGTAAGTTTATTTCGTTAGACCCCTTCTTGTCATCGTATCATTTGGTGGAACATTTGTCTAAATTATCAAGTTTAACAGATGAATTCATGAGTCATTTATAACTAAACGACCATATAAAACCTGAAAACATTGGATACCTGTTTCGTTCTAGTATGTGACTCCTCAATAGTACGCATCTATGGTGGTCCAGCTTTAATCAACCCATGAATTCAACTACTAACTTACTTTAATCTCTACAAAACCCACTTTTTGATAAATTATTAAAACTGATTATTTGAAAATACTTAAGAAAAATAACTTTTTAGATTAGAAAGTAACCAATATCACTAGAAATGTAATAATGTGACTTAATCAAAAATAAATAAAATTTATAATTAACAATTTGAACTCCCATATCATGCACTTTGATATTGATAATAAATAATAATAAAGAAATGTGAAGTATATTGTAGTCAGTAGGATCTATTTTTGGATATTATAAATTTTGTTTAAATGCATAAAACAAAATAAAAATATACCACAATGTTAAGTATTTTTTAATAGTAAATTAATATGGTATATTTTAACCAAATTATAGAGAAAAATTCCTAATTTATACCAATGTAAAATGATTTGAATATAGCATATCGAATAATTCTACGTTTTCTCATACTTCCCATACTGTGTTAGTACATTACTAGTTTCTGCAAAGTATATATGATATAACCAATTAGCCGCACATAAGATATATATATATATATATATATATATATAATTGCAAACGTTACTTTGTCGGTCTTTGACACAGTAACACGATAAATACAATTAAGTATCATTCATAAATTATAACATACCGCTCTTGAACGTAAACAGTCTGCATGAAACAAAGTATAAACAGATGATATATATATATATATATATGAATTGAAATAAACTTTTGTTCGAAATACCTTTGTAGTATTTGATTTACACTATACATTCATATAATCATGAGTAAATACAAATTATCTGTTAAATATAGAGATTTTTTTAGAACACTTAGTAGGCATTATACATTTAAATTCAAATGTACAATTCAAAAACTCTTTTCTATTCCTAATTCACCACGTTGAAATTAGTAATAATAATGTAAGTTGCTTTTCTCTATTTCCCTGTATAATTTATAAATTAATTTTTTCTTCTTTTTTATTTTCGTTGATGAGATTTGTATCCAAACAATTATTCTATTTTATAATATCAATGATTATCCTGTATACATCTATGTTTAATACTGTATTGACTTGACCCAATAAATTACCGATAATGCAAACAAAACATCTTTCTATATACTAAGAATAGAGATGGAAGACAATCAAAAGTAAGTTTATAGTGTATTCATAAAATAATTTTGATCACCTAAAAACTTCATAGAACACATTGTATTGTAGTTATGTCTGTAATTACTATGACTTGTATACATTTTCTTTATATATATATAAAGATTGTCAAGTATGAGTTAGTGAGATGTTTTCCATTAGTTTGTAGTATAAAAAGAAGGGAGAAAAATTTACTTTCATCTTCTGTTACTTATTTCTTCTCTCTTTTGATAAGTAAGACATTTTACATTCATAAACATAATAAATACTTCACTGTAAACAAAATTATAACCACCCTCAATAATAATAATAATATGCTAGTATGAATGTGTATAATTTTTGATAATTTACAGTAATTGTTGGTAGCGTGAAAACTACCCGAACACAGGTGAACTACAATGATAACGATAATAATAATAATAACAATAACAGTAATAACTTCAGAGACGCAAATAAATTAATCATGCCAATGTCATTTGTGATTGTGATTTTTTATTTTTTTCTGATTATAATAATTCCATCGTGGAACTATAACACACATTTATGATGCACTGTATATATATATATACATATATATATATATAGAGAGAGAGAGAGAGAGATTGAATGATGTAAATTGATGTGTGTATGTGCGTGTGTATGTTAGTGGGTTTGAGTTATCAAAACACATCTATACAATTACTATTCATAGAATAATAGTAACAATGACAATACCACTACTAATACTACTACTACTACTAGTACGAACAATAATAATAACAACTAAGATACCAAATGGATTAGAATAAGAAAAAAAATCATTAGAAATAAGTATAAGATTAGTATGACTTTTACAAATTATTGACATTTCAATTTATAACTAAACATGAATTTTTATTAAATTTCCCAAGAAATCAAATAGGCAAAAAATGATTATAGATAAGAGGAAAAAAAAAACCAATCTTATTTATATACATATATACAAATAAAGAAATACACATTTAATTTATAAAGGTGAAATTATATCAATTAAATATATACATATACACTTACAACTATCATAATAATTTTTGGCAAGGTATATATCATCTCTGTAGGCATTTATATAACAACAACAAAACACATCAAGTTTTCTGTGTTTGTTTCTACGTTGTCACATAAAATGTTGTGTGAGATTCTGTGAATCTCTTGATTAATTTTATATAAGTATGATCATTTTGTCATTCTATAAAATGAGATAAACTATAAGTTTCACACGACTATTTTACTTTATTTACTATAGATGATAATTTTATTTTAATGTGACTTATTACCCAGAAGTTTATATATGTTTCTTATAATGTTTATACTTGAGTTATTCAATAGAGTATTAAGTCCATTAGTATTAAACAATGAAAAATACGAATGTTTATTTTATTCTGTTTTAAATTTGTTTCATTTGCTTACCTTCTTTTCAAATAAGAATATAGTTACAATAAACAATAGTTTAGTAGATATACATCATATTATGTATTATATTGGTTTAGTTAAGGGTATTGAATGATCGAATGAGATATTTTATGTGAAAATTATATATGAAATAATCTCAGTAATTGAAATTTAAATAATTCTAACGTTTCGTCCAGCAAACTTGTTTGGATCTTGAAGAAGTTTAGACAAGTTTGATAAACGAAACATTGGAATTATTTAAATTTCAATTGCTGAGATTATTTCAAATATGATTATCATATATAATAACTTATCCATAGTCGGCGCCCAACTTTTGTTAAACTATTTGTTCTAATAATAATGAATATTCGTATAAAGAATGAAATATTGTTTTAAATAATCTCTACTGTTTATACTGTCTTGTTCTTGTTATCGTATAATACAACGAAACTGAAAAACGTCAAATATCATTATGATGTTTATGCACAATTAGGTGCTGTTGCTCTTTTGAATTAAATAAATCTTTCATCATTTAACATTTCTACTTAAAGTAATTAGTCCCTTTTATAAATTCCTATGCAACAATGAGAAAACGGATTTGATCTGAAAAACGTGACGTATTTGTGCTATACATTTCTAACAATCTGGTCATACATATACTTGTCAAGGCATTTTATATGAAAATGAATAAACGTCAATTAAATGAAAGTTAAAGTAAAAACGGTAACAAAGGGGAGAGAAACAATTTTATATCGTATAGAAAGAATAATAAATCGCCGCGTTATCCTAGTCTATAGAATGATTTAAGGATCACCAAGGTAAATTCAAGGTTATGACAAATTGTTTTTTGTACACATAAAGGGTTTTGTAATTTATGAATAGCTAAGGCTTTAATAAACCTGATAATTTATCCTTGATAATTTCTATACAACGTTTTAAAAACTGTCAATCTTGTGCCCCATTTCAATTATATATTTCGCTAAAACATCCATGTTTAATATAGAAACAAACCAAATACTTGGAAAATTTTCAAAAATAAAATGAAGGCAGTATAGACATCGGTTATACAGAAAAGAGATTAGTATGTTACATAGTTTAAAAGGTATTATATTTGAGAATATCATAAACTTAATCAATTCATGAAATTGTAACTTATTTGAAGAATAATTCTAATGGACTTATAGCCTATAATATACAATTTTAAGAAAATATAGATAAGAATATCTAATTACAATGGGTGATGAAAGGTATTATTATT